GTACCCGTTCGTCTTTCCCTCGCGGGGAACGCCAGTTCAAATCCTCGGGTTTCTAAACGCTACAAAACATCTACGGTCACCACGGGGGATTGCAACTTTTTCTTTAAAACATTAGCGAAGAACTCAACAACGAGTGAAAACAACTGCTTGAGAACATAACTCCAGAATATCCTCAATATCTTACAGTATCTGCAAAAGACAGCCCAAAAATATAATTTTAAATAATGCTTTTTGTCACACAGTGGCAAGCAGTGGACTAAGTGCTGGCTTGTCATCAGCCTTGCCAAGCAAAGGTGCAGGTACCCATGTTCATTAGCTTCTATGCAGCATTGAACAGCAAAGTTGAATTCTGCCATTTAAACACAATCAATAGAGAACATGTACAAAAATCTGCAATTTAGCCAAAATCTGAGAACGTGTACCTGTCCCCAGCCATGTTTAGAGATCACATGGACAATTTACTGTCACACATAGGGCTGAACCCCAACTTCTGCTAGAGTTGGTTGGCAGCTATCTGATCTAGCACAGATCACCTTACCAGCTAATTGTGTACTCACACCTACACACAGCTGAGAAACAGAAAAGGCCATTAAGATGTTCAACAAAAAATAAGCCTTTTTTTTTTTATACGTTTGCTTTGCATTCAGTAGCAACCAGCATCAAAACACGAAGTCTTGTCATCCCTATTCTTTCTGGCTGCTAAGGTGAAGGCCAGAAACTAAGTTAAACATCATGGTTCTGTGAACTTGATGGAAATTTCACCCCTCATTTCATCAGGGCCAACATTTCATTCCCAAACTACCATCTCCCTCCACAATTTCTTTAAAGGCTTTGGTATATTAGCTCTTTCATCATGAAAGTTGTCTTCCTACATGCATGTTGTGAAGTTGATTTATCCCTGCCAGTTATAAACAACCATAGGTAGATTTATTTCCAATATTATTTTTAGTGTCCTGTAATCCCCCTAGCCATTTGCTAAAAAAGTTCAACTGATAGTCTCAAAGGTAATCCACGCTCCCAATGAAAAAGTTAAGTATTATTTCAGAGGCAGTTGAGAGCAGTCTCCCCCCGGCAGCAGCCCATGAAGTCCAGTGCTCTAAGCCATAAAAAGCAGGCTTTTCCGCCATGACCTTCAGGTGACACCCGTCACAGTAATGATGCACTTTTGTACCAGCATGCTCATCATTTGAATGTCTCCCTTTGAGCAAACCCAAGGAGCATGCTGTAAAGGAAAAGATCCTTTTAATCTATTCAGCCTGGTTCCCCCCATGACCATACACCAAGCAAAGAGTCAGCGGTGTGCACTGACCTAAAAGTTAAGTACAGAGACTTCCTCTTCAAGGTGCTGCTTTTTCCCCACCTCTCACCAGGGGCGAGTTCTCTGGCTGAGGCTGATACGGAGCAGACTGAGAACAACAGGAGTGGGGGGGGAAGGAGGGGAAAAAAGAAAAAAAAAAAAAAAAAAAAAGAATCCAGCAACGGAGGATATCCAGATACCCTGCTGAGATATCCAAAGGATGCTGAGAGGCATTAGGGAACAGCCTAAGGAAAGTCCTCAGCCAGCCCCCCGGCAAATCTTCCAGGAGAGGCAGAGGATCACCGGTCTGCCTTTGTACTTCCAAGATTACCTGTCTGTCCGGCACTCAAGATGCAAGGTAAGGCACGCAGTCCCGGGAAGTGGACGTGTAGAAATATTTCTTCAAAAATTTATTGCCCAGAGCTACAGGTCTGTGGGGGGAAATGTTTCTCAGCACTGGCTGACAGAAATGGTTGCACTGAAATAATGATATCTAGTTATTTCTGTTCATATTACTTGAGGGATGGGGGGAAGTAAAATAAATTATGTAAGGTAACTGTCAATATCTCCAGGATGCCATTATAATTTACTATTACCTACTGAAATGTGGATTGAGTTTGACTGATTTCATAGCTACCACCATGGTGAAAAGCTAATGCAATATTTTTAATACCAAGAGCGAAGTTTGACATGGTTATACTGCTCTGACGCGTCCTCTATTTACTGGAGAACAGTGTCCATCCTGAAGTCTTCAGTGACAAGCCACCTGAAGTATACATGAGATTCTCTACATCTGTTTTTTTTCTTGTTAGTAAGAGTCGATGATATGACATGTGTGGACTAACTGGGAAAATAAGAGTGATTTTTTTGACCCAAGATAACTATTTAAGACACAAATCTGTAAACGCCTGCATGCTTGTGTATGTTATAATAGCATGTATGTTCAGAGCATGTCCCTAATCAAGCTGATTGCCCTCTTTTAGCACTTGATAATGACAATCCCTGTATTTAGGGTTACAAAGTCATTTTTACCCTACCAACACTCACATCTCTGTAAATGCAGAAGCACAGAGTAGAGAAAATGAAAGTCATGCAGTGCTAAAGGTAGATACCATCAAAAGACCAAAATAGCATGGTGGTTCACAAACACAGGAACATCCATGTACTACAGAAAACAGAAGTCCAAGAAGCAAAAAGTAGACTAACAATCTTACTGTTCATTCTTCTGCAGCGCTAAAAATTATTCAACACATTGCTTTGTTGTATCTAGCAGGAGAACACCTTTAATAAAGCTCCCTGTTACATTCCTTTATTTATATCCTTTTATGTAAAACCTTTTTTTTCCCCCTGAACAATCCCTCCTTGTGAAAATCAGATGGTTTAATGAGGACATTTACCTTAACACAACATTGCAGTACTCAGAGGTTGGGGTCCAGAGGCTGAATGCTACAGAAATTTTACACTAGTAATTTGACAGAAACTACCAGAAAGACTAATTAGGAGCTAGCAGGGTAAAGAGCAAGGATCACTTGCAGAATACTCTAGGGAATGTTGCTCACCCTAATTTGTATGACCTATCAGACTTCACAAATTACTTCTTTTCTCAATTTTTGTGACTGTTTTAAGCCCCCACCTCAAAAAAAAACCCCAACCCAACCAACAAAAAACCCAAAAACCAAACAACAAACACAAAACAGGTAAGTAAACTGAAAACTAGATCAGAGTTTCTGTTTTACAGAGGTTGCATTCCCCCTTCAGTGTCCCATAACAGCTACAGTTTTCAGGGTATCAGGGGCACGTGAAAACAGAAAAACCTTTCCCATCACTCTGGCGTGACTGCATTAGGGAACAGTTAGAGGAGTCAATCGTATTTACTTCAGCATGGTGTTGATTTACAAACACTGCTACACATAATTTAAAGACAAAACATGTAAAATACCACTTCAAATGTAAGAAGTCCATTTAATAGGTCAAGCTCCATGATCTCCTCCCTCCAGCAAGTAAACTGGCAGGATCAAAATTCAATGCAAACAGGCACTTCAAGAGAATGGTGTTCAGAAGATTGGAGTCTTTACACATTCATCTCACACTATTTTCCACTTGTATGCCTTTTAGGGAGAGCAAGATTTTAAAGTGGCATTTAAAATATATTTTCCTTCCATTACTACCCCCTTCAAATTGTTTGACAAATTGTTGACAAAAGTTTAAAACATTTAAATTAAAGTAAAGTTTTCTAGTTCCATGCCAGATTAGGATACTAGATAACAAAGCCTAGAGCCTATGGATCTTTTTCCCTGTAAAGAATTATTTACTGAACTTTTTTTGCATAAACTGCCTGCAAAATACATACTTGCTCTTTAACGATCTTTAAAACACTGAAAACTAACATACGACGACATGTCTTTTTCTTAGCAGTTCTTTCATTTTCAGCATTTTGTGGGAACTAAAAAGACCATCTTCACAAACTGACACTTCCTCCTTTCCAACAGGAATTTAGAGTGTATTGGACAGAACTCAGAGGAACTATGCTTTTCTTTTATGATGATAAGAAAGCCCCAATGGTGAGTCATGTGCCATCTTTATAACTACCCGTCTGATTAAGTGCATCAGTTATTTTCATCAAGTAATCCTTATGTACTCCAGACAACTCTCGGCACCCTTTGCTCTCTCATCTGCATAGTCCAAAAAAATAGTACTGAACATTGTAACAGAAAGGCTGAGATCAAAAAAAGCCAGAGTGAAACAAACTATAGCATATTAATTTGCCTCATCAAAATAAAAAAGGAATTTTTTTTTGGCACCTGAGCTACAAATGTATCCACATTGCTCCATAATTTTACCAAGTGCTTTTTCCTCAGCTGTGCACAAGGGTAAAATTATTGTGGTGTGTAACATGATTTTCCTTTATGCAGCTGAAGAAAAAGTGCTTGGTATTATTATGGTGTACTCTGGCTGAGGGTTTAGTTGGCGTCACAACGCAAATACTCAGGAAGGTCTCGTGGATTTAATCTGTTTGTGATTATGAAGATTAAGATGGGAAAAATCCAGAAGGTACACTGTTGGTGAGAAGAGCTTCTGTAAGCAGAAGCAAAGGACTGAGCTTTGGCACGTCTGTCAGTTAAACTTAACCCAGGTTCTAACAAAAAAAAGTTTCAATCTATTTTCTTCTAAACAAATTCCTTTGACGAGCAGCTAGATTTTTGGTGAAAATTACAACTTGTGCTATTTCTCCTTTCCCCCCTCCTTAGTACTCACAGAAATTAGATATATCAGCTTTGACCTCAGCAACCAATGTTTATCCAGATGAAAATGGCTCTGCACACTTCATCCTGATGCTGTCAAATGGGGAACTAGAACTGAAGGTAAAAAGAGGAAAGCTGTGATTTGTAAGCTACTCGGTACTTTTTTTCCATCTCCCACAGATATTCAGAGCTCCATTTTGGTGTGCGAGTGGAGCTGCCTTCTTGACATCTGGTACAGCCTGCAGCCAGGCAGCACCAAAAGGCAGGGCAAAGGAACCTAAAGGGAAACTCCCCCTTGAGGCATTAGAAGTTTTTCTCAGGAGTATCTGGGAATATGAAATAAGCAAAGAATTGAACAAGAAAATATACAAGAGAAACCAGGAACTACCACACTGATAGGCCCGCGTCACCTGTAAAACCAAGAAGGGGATAAAATATCTGACCACCCCAGCATTCAGAAGCCGTACAGACTGAAGTACTCAAGAGACTATCTAGGAGGTTTTATACTTGAGACTCACCTATCTCCTTAGTTTGGCCTTCTCCTTGGATCCACACAGAGCATATGAGGTTTTTTTTACCTTCCCACCTCTGTCCTCTCCCTCTAATTGAACACGGAGTACTGGGGAAGTGTGGGTTTCAGGGTGTGATGTAGCTTGGCAGGGAGCTCATTTCCAGGCATGGTACTTCTAAAAGGGTGAGAGTTATTTGAGGCTTCCACGTGAAATACTATATTTTTTATTGTTGCTGTAGTTGTTCTTACACCATCATTTTCTGTTCTCTCAGGCTAATGACAGTGAAAGTGGGAAAGAATGGAAGTGTTTTATTCTCACTGTAACAAAGGTATGGAAGAGCTTTATGTCTCACTTCATGTCAAAAGGTGTCTATAAAGGGGTTTTGTCTTCATGCATGCCAGAAGTTGGCTTCCACAGGCACAAAGCCTCACCTCTAAGGTGTTTGCACACACTAAACTGTTGAGGGTGTTTGCTGGGTTTGGGTTTTTTTTTCCCTGAGGAGAGCAAAATTAAGGCTGATTTAACCCCAGCTCATCTGCAATACACACTCTGCCACGGTATCTAGTCAGACACAGTTCCCAATCCAGTTTGCTGCCGAGGAAGGAAAAGACTTCTAGCACAAGTCCATCCCCTGCAGCTGTGAAGAAGGGAGCTGCTCAGAGAGAGAGACAACTCTCTAGGTCTTTATCATGGGATAAAGACATAACCAAAGAAACGGCCAAACTGCACACCTGAGAGAACCCCTCAGCCCTGTGTTTTATTCTACTATTCTTCTTAACTAAATGCACTTTGAAAACAGCAAAACTCTCTTTGATAACAACCAGTGGAAAAATAAATTGTTTGTTCACAAATGACTTTACATTGGCCTAGCTGAATCACTTAAAAAGCTGAGGATGGCTGAAATAGGTTAAATTACATTTACACAGCCTTCTGCAGTATAGCAACTGCAAAATATCATTGTGGATTCTTACATCGTTCCCACTTCTGTCGATGCACATTTCTTCTAAATCAGGACACAGATATCCTTATTTCACTATTCTAACAAAAACACACGTGCAGCATTCTATTCAAAGCAGAGGCGCATTCAAACCTTCCAGATTATCACAGCTGCTTAAACCAAGCAGGTATGAAAGATTTCTGCACAGCAGCTGTGCTCAGAGATCAGCTGTGATGCGCACACAGAAACGATTGCTCACAATGTTTGTCCACTCTTTCATTTTCTTTTCAATTGCACTGTTAATTTTCAGCTGTCAGTTCCACCAGACGAGTCATTACTACCTGGGCAACTTACAAGAATGCATGAAGTGCTAGAGAAGGAAAAGAAAAGAAGGATTACACGTAACGATTGTTCCAGCACATCCTTGAACAGAAAAAGCCCCCCCAGCAGTACATTGACTACTATGCCAGTGTAAGCTCTGACTGAACTATGCGAACCCCAACCTGACTAAACAGCCTTCCCTTCTTCTTTCAAAGTATTATTTCCGTGCAGAGGTTCAAAATTCAGCTGTTGTACAAGGGTTGTATAATATTCAATGAACAAAATCTACCTTAAGGCCTTTATAGAGATTTCCTAAGGGAAAGATTACTCCTGCAGCTTTTCTATAATGCCTTTTGTTTTGAAAAGGCCGAGTGCAGCGTATTGCTATGCTTAAAAAACTTTTCAGAAAGCCACACGTTGGGCTGCTGTATCTGCCCTTCTGCGAAAATGCTGATTACCATTGAGAAATTCAAGGTAAGTCCAGGTTACTCTTCTCACGTTCTTTCCAAGGCTCCAGAAAGCATCATACCTGTATGAAAGCTTCACTTTCTCTCTAAGAATGCCAAAGCGCTACTGTCCTGAATTATGCTCCTATAGTAGCATTAATCAGCAAGAGTCCTTCAGATGTTATGCCTCTTGGCAGCCATGGCTAGTTACCCTGGATAAGCCTAGCATTGTGAAGAGGTGTTAGCCCAGTAGACCGCGTCTCTTCATGCAGCTCAGAATGATGTGGCCTTGCCAGCATGACTCGCATTCACGCCGTTTCTCTCCTCCGTTCTATGCAGGTGCTTCTATGCAGTATCTCGGCAAGAAGCAACAGAGATGTTAGAAAAGAACCCTTCATGTGGGAATTTGATCTTGCGCCCGGGCAGAGACAGCAAGAACTACGCAATCACTATCCGACACGAGCTGGAGTAGGTTGATTCCACAATATATTATCCCATTCTTAACTAGTATGCACTGTATTAAAAGCTGAATTCTTAATACCCAGAGCTGACATGTGAAACATATGCCTTGCCTTCAGGCTATTTTGAAAAAGGCAAACAAGGCAGCAGGGGTGGGCCTGCGACTGATTTCTTGGGTCTCTTCTCCTCCAAAGCCAGTTAGATTAAACAAAGAAGCAATAAAGATCAGCCAGCAAAAGCCCATTTCCTTGGGTAAATGGGCTTCCCTTGTTTGCCATGAAACCCCACTCAGATTAAGAAATCATCACGCCATACCCCTTTGTAAAACGAACAATGAAAAATGGAAGAGACAAGTATTTTCAAACAGTAACTTAGTCTAAAAACATACCACATTTCAACTGAATTGCCATGTTCTAGCTTTTGCAGAGCTTCAGAACAAGAGGCATCTGAGACACCAGGAATGACATTTGCGATTCTCGGTGTTTCTAAACTAAAACGGGAAAAAAACAAACCCTGCCACACACCTTCAATAAGCCCTGGGGATATTACAAAGCACACCCATTGCTCCTGCCCTGTTTATAATGACAACGATACATCAAAAAGTATTTCATTTCAAGCAGCATATCAACTTTCATTTTCTTTCAGTGCCCCACACTTAAAGCACTACAAAGTGATGTCCAAAGGAACGAGTTACATTATCGAATTGGAAAGACAGGTAAGTGAGCAATTCCCTTGCTGAAGATTCTTAAGCAGGTGTAAGAAATACCACTTTGCAGAAAATTAGAAAACCTCTAGTAAATTCCTAGTTATAATTTGTGAGTCAAAGTATGCGGAGAGTTCACCTCTCTTGTTAGTCTAACTAACCTAATCTCAACAAGTTATTTTTTAAGAACTAGAAAAGTAGGAAAAAACCCCACATCAGCATCTTCTCTCTAACAAAAATAAAATCAAACCACTCACAAAACACTCAAGATGGCTTAATTTATTTTTTTTCAACTCAGGCTTCAGTACTAAGTCTGAAAACTGAGCTCTCATTGCAGCTAGAGGAAGTTCAAAATGCACTCCATATAACTTTGATAAATAAAATTAATTTAGTTGAAGCGTGAGCAAGGCTGTATGGACCGAGAAACGTCCTATTGGTTTGAAAAAGCACCTGCTGTTGTACCATGTGCTGAAAGAGCATCAGCAGTCATCGAAGAGCACAACAGTACAGAGAGCAATCTCTCTTTTGGTTTGTTTACTCATGTGATGGAAGGGAAGGAGTTATATGTTCAAGGGTCAAACTGTTACCAGAGATTGCAGAGGGCTGTCCTAGACCTCACCGCATCCAAATGCGGGATGTAAATCCAGTATCGGTTGTTTGAGAAACATTGCTAGGGATCCCAGCCTTCCAGCATGTTTTTGAAAATGTATTCTCAACACACATAGCACGTTTTATTTGGTGGGGTTGGTTTGTTTTGGTGAAACAGGTGACACTCCCAAGCCTTCAGGATGTTGTCAATTACTTTGTCACCCAAACCCGAGGGAAACTGAAGCCATTTGTCATACGGACGCACAGTGCAGAGGACCCAGTGTTCTGAAAGCAAGCTTGTTGCTGAAGGCACACACAGGAACAGTCCTGCTAAAAGAAAGAGGCACAAGCAGCAGCACAGGAACTCCGTACTACTGAAGATAAACAGAAGGCATTCCCCAAGCTACTTAGTTTCTAGAACAGCTTTGTTGGCCCTAAACCAAGAATATGATGCAGTTTCTCCCAGAGAAACTTCTGAGATTTGGGGAGGGCAAATAACCCCAATTCCTGTAGAAGATTAAATGTGGAAAAAGAAGAAAAGACAAGAGTGGGAAAGAGAGGACAACATTGCCCCTGCAAAATGCGATGGAAAAATACTGTATTGAAATTAGGCAGACAGTGTTTGTGGGCTCAATTCTGTCACTGGCTCACAGTGCAATAAACTCTTTGTGTTAAAAACCCCATTTCTTGTCTACTCACTTGTAACAGGATCAGCGCCATTTACGACATCCCACAGAGACAGCAGGGATGCCTCACCTCTGCTGGGGCTTTGAGCACTGCCAGAGAGGTGCAATACAGACCATAAATACAAGTCTGGGTAGCTTAAACTGAGGGTTCCTGGTTCTCTGCAAGGTCATGCAACCCTTCAGGATCTGGAACATCCCGAGTAAGGTGGCTAGGGCATTTCCCGTGTTATGCAACTGAGGGAGGGCATAAATTCAAGCAAACTCAGACATCTCCTGCCCAGCTGAAGATTCCCACCCCTTCTACGTGCCAGCAGGGGTGTTTATCAGACCCTGCCGTGAGCTACTTCAGGAAACTAAACAAAAATAAGTTGGTGCCCCTGTTGGTTAAGCTCTCTGAACTACCTTTTGCATGGGCTGAGACAAGCCCCACTGAGTGCACAAGGAGGACAAGACTGCACAGCTGGTAACAAGGGAAGGCAGCAGAGCACGTGAGAGCCCTGCTGATCATACCAAACAGTTGTGGAACCCGCCGAGCCTTAGGCACAGCATCCATCTTCTTGGAAACTGGTGATCCAGCCTTCAAAACAAGCAACTTAAGTGATCAGCAGTAAGATCCAAGTTTAGTATTTTTAGCCTCTAAGTTCTGCCAGGCAGCTGGACTGAATAAAGTCCTTACTTTACTCCATGGGCACCCAGGGCTGAGCTACACTCCTTCATAGTTAGCTAGATGACTAGCTCCAGAGCCTGGCTTTTTTCTTTAAAAAAAACCCAACCAGATAAACCGCACCTCTTCTCTGACAGTGGTGGGGGAGCGTTCACACAGCTCAGCTGAAGAAAGCTATGAAGCAGCTAGCGCCTTCACTACACGACACACACAGGGAGTCATCTCGGTAGAGTTGCTCTTACTTCCAGACCAAGATTGATCGTCATGTTCCTTTGATATCAGCTGGCAATCACAAATTAATTATTACTTATTTCAAGGATTATGGAAGTCAGTCAAGGCTTGGGAAGGTTATTTTAAAAGAATGTCCATGTGTTTCTAAATAATAGATTACGTGTGACCAGATGAAAGCACACCCACTGTATTTATAAAAGTGCAACATAACATGAGACGTTAGCACTTTCTTTTCATGAAAATACTTAAGATCACTTTGTGAAGATGGTGCTGCTCAGTATGCATCAGGTTAGAGTTGCAGCTTTTCCTCAGTATGAAATTGAAACTTGTGTGTTGCTGTGAGAAGTGGGAACTTGATACTTCTTCACTGTATCTCACTTTTGCCATGCAAAATGATTCACTTACTAGCAAGACAGTTCTGCTGAAGTTATCAATGCTATAACTCACGACACCTTTAAGCCTGAGCCTCAAAAAGCTTGCTGCGGCATAGATAAACAGCCATGCTAGCTACGTCATCAACCACACAAAAGATACCAAAAGATACGTTTACTAAAATAAACTCTCAAAAGCTATCCGGTCAAAACGTAACAACCTTTGGACAAAGGTTTAGATTGATGCACTGTGCTGCAGTAGAGTATGCTTTCTGTAATTGCAAAACAGGAGATAATTAACAGGGATGGATAAACCTTTCAAGCTAATAAGCCAGCTGCAGTTGGCTGAAATTGAGTTCCTTTCTTCAAACAACGGGCCTACAGCCACATTGTTTCAAAGACACAAGGAAAAATTAAGAACATGAACTTGTCTAAGGCCTTTACTTGTGCTTGATATAAGTCAGACAGATATACAAACTCTCTGCCTAGCTCAGACCCACATTATTTCAGGATGTGAGATGCTGCGATGAGGTGACAGAGCTTCTGCACTCACAGAGGCCCAGCTGGTGCCAGAGTTGTTCTTTCTATGTAGTCATTATTCTTGAATAGCACTTTTTTTTTTTTAAAATAGACAATCACGTATTCACCATATGGTGGGGAAAAAAGCTGAAAACGTGTACTTTTTACTCCTTGTCTAGGTAAATAAAGTCCGAAATCCGTAAGATCTGCCAAAACAGTTTGTTAACAGTAGCATGATCATCACACAGAATCCTCACTACTCCTAGCATTAAAGAAACACGGAGATTAACCACAGAGAACAGTTGAGCTGGGTGCTAAATGCCTTGTGTTTTGCATGCACAAACATTCCTGCAACTATTAAGAATGTGAGAAATTAAGGGAAAGCTAGTGTAAATAGGAGCAAACTCTGTAAGAAAGCATTTCAGTGAGAAAGATCTTTAACGCTGATATAAAACTTCATCTCTGCAAGTCAACTGCTCTTTCAAGGAATAACATTTTGAAGGAAAGCTATTCAAGTGTTCTAGTGGAAAGAGAGTTCTTCATTGCTGCGGGGAGATGGCTAGCTCTAGCTGCTCCACAGGAATAGAGCATCAAACAGTCCTAGACACGCACAAGCTTTCATTACAAAGGAAAAAAAAAAAAAAAGAAAAAAAGCAGTTCTCGGATTCCAGGCAGTGCTACAAGCCTCTACACTGCTAGCACTGGTGGTGACAATGCTGGAGATCTGGAAGACCAGCACCCTGAAATTCACTTGCCTGGTTTGATTGAGCCCTTTTAGTATGATCATGCTGAGGACCTGCTGAGACTTTTGATAAAAAGCAGCAGCAGATTGAGAAATAGGCTGTATCAAACACAAATTCACACTGAATCGGCTCACTCCACTCTGCACAACCTTCAATATAAATACATTCATGCTCCATATCAGCAATTCAGAAAGTTTTAAAACATGAAAAACAATTTTAATGAGCCACTTGACATGCACAGTTCTTCCATATAAAGTCCTCTTCAGGTTATTACTTGTAAGATTTTACCTAGGTTACTTATATCCAGAAAATTTTAAAGGTCTGCTAATATCTAGAGCCATTGTGCATTTTCATTTTTTCCATCAGCAACTGTTTAACTGAGCAGAACCCACACATAGAACAGACATCCATCCAACAGATACACACAGTAAGAGCAGTATAGAGATACAGCCATGTCTGTAAATTCTGGCCCTGAACCCTGCCAACCTCAACCTGGACTTTTTGGCAAGGGTCTCACAAAGCTGTATGCATTGTCATTAATAAAAGCCATTCTCCTAATTATACCTGAAAATTTACTTTAAATCCTGAGGACTGTCAGATGGCATTCTAGCAAAGTACTGAGACTTCATTATTTTTATATGCTACTTACTTCAAAAGCATAAGCATGATGTTAACACCACACTAACGTACCAGAATATACTTACTCAGTTTCGTTTGTTTCCCAGTCTCCAGCTGTGAGAGGTGACAGTGCTTTCGACTCGACCTAAACCTTTAAGTGATTCTTAGCACAAATTACTGATTTCAGTTAAGAGTTCAGATTCTAATACTGCCACAGTGAAATACATTTTAGTTGTTGACCAGAAGTGGAAACTTACTGTCTGCTTGTGCCTTCTCTGCACTCTAAATATAGTCATCTTTTCTCCTGTTTCAAAAAGTTTCTCTAAGAGAAGTTCTTAAAAAAATGAAGTTAGGTAGTTTAAAAAGCAGTATTATTAATCTAGAAAATTATATCTATAAACTAGACTGACTGTAAAACTATATACACCTTCCAGACGATATCCCGCATGTAAGACTAAATCCCAAATGTTGGAATAATTGTGTTGATTCCAGCTATTCAGTTTCATACATCGTGGTGTTCAAGTTCCCAGCCTAATAGCTGTTGTTCCTGACTACAACTAACCAAGAAGGGAAAAAAGGAGAGGTAAAATTCCTGACCAATAACATTCATTAAACGTGAAGATATCCCTAAAGCTTAATAAGTTATGATCAAGGATAAATGGCTAAGTAATCAATAGCTTTTGAAACAGCTGCAGGAGATAATGTGTAATCACAATCTCTAAAGCTTAAACACATTAAAAGGTTTTCCAGTTCATAGGTTTTTATTCTAACCTCACATCACTCTATCATCATTGGGAGAAAAAAAGAACTACCAGCTCAACTATCCAGTGTTTAAATGATAGAGAAAATAAGGTGGTGTCACAGATGTTTCTGTAACACGCCTCTGCCTCACCACAGCAGCAAAGCTAGTCCCTAATCATTTCCAATTAAGCAGATCCTTTATACTTAGATATCCTAGTAACTGACTGATGATGATAAAAACCTCAGCGTTCAGTGCAACTCAGACTTGTGCTGTGGACAGGTGTACAGCATAACCATTCGCTATAAGGAAACGGTACCAAAAGGAGCCGCTGAGGAAACTGTTTGCTATGACAAACATCCAGAGCCATTTGCCTTCTCCTCCTTTCAAAGTCATCATTTGCTACAGTGTTTTTAATTTGGTGAGGGCAGAAGGGCTCAACCACACCAAACATTTTCTCTTTCTTGAAGACAAAGTTTTATTGTTGAAAGTGTTAACTCAGCTCTCCGATAGGTTTCCATTTTCCCCATATTGCAGTATTCCCCAAAGAACAGTCTTAGTGCAAGATAATCAACAATTCCAGCTCTCTTGACTTCAGGGGAGCTGTGACAATTTACACCTACTCAAGACCTGCCTCCCTATGTTTCCATGTTGAGACTGACATAAGATAGCTGCTCTGACACACAGCATCACTAACTGTTCAGAAGAGAGCACCAACACCACAATAAAGCAGTTAATCTGCTTTTAAGTGGGAATTAAAACCTTTTGGATGGATTAAATCTCATGTGTAGATGGCAAGAATGAAATTCTTGTTTGAGAATTAAGTAACATATGAAATGGGATTTGAGATGTTCTTGGAACACCAGGAGTATCATAAAATGGCAGTTTCCCCATTTTTTGCACTCTTCTCTAAGCAGCGCCTAATTTGCACATGGGGACCATTTGTTAGG